AATTACGTAAATGGCGAGTAAAACGTATATTTATTCAGCTGAAAGAAGCGGATATCTTAAAGAAGAAAAAAGTAATAAAACCCATTTTTATTTGCCTTTTTCCTACTTTTTCGTCGTTTTCTTTTAGTTTGCTTTGATGAGGGGGTCGAAAGCCACATGTTTTTGGTCACTTGGTTAAGGCCTGTCCAGGCGGAGACGAACAGTTGTTGTGGCCTTCGTTCCGCTGGTTTTACGCCCGGCCAGCGGGGCGTATGCGTGATCTGGGCGGGGTCCTTTGTCCTTTGTCCTGTTTTCGCCGTCGTTGCCTGTTTATTTGCATTGTTCGCAGGACATTCGCTCGCTGGTTCGTCCGTTGTCCTTGTACTGGTGTGGATGGTGAGATGGCCATGTTGGCGTGTGGCACTTGTGCACTTTGTCACTTTTGTTTTAACGCTTACGCTTTATTGAGTTAATCGCTTTATGTCCGGCATTTTCCCTCCTCTGTTTGCCTTTCTGCACTTTTGCCAGCTCAGCACTTTTAATTAATCCAGCAGTCGGAGATAGTTGCTCCTCGCTTCTACCCGCTTTTCCTGCTTTTCCAGATTTTTCCCTACCTGCATTGCTTTTCCAGCTGGTTTTAATCGCTACTCTTTCTGGCTGTTTGTCCCCATCTTTTTGCCAAATAAAGTTTAATGTGTTTTTATTGATTACATCAGTGCGTGTTCGCTCACCCTTTCCTCTTCTGTGGTCATTATATAAATACATACTCGTATCACCCTATAAAGTTATTTTTCCCTTTGGCCAGCTGGAATTTTGATTGAGCATGTTTGTTGATTTATGTGCGCCAGTTGTGGAATTTATGTGCGGTCATTGTGAAATCCAGCAGAAAAAACAATAAAAGCGGCGTAAGGAACAAAATTAAATAAAACCGAAACTCGCACAAATAGTATGATAAACATTTCATTTAAAATGCCCAAAAAGAAATGTTAATTTTACATTAAATATGGGCGAAATAAAAACGCTTTCATAAATAATATCCCCTGCTACTGGGGCTCAAAAGTATGCAACAGATTTTTTATTACAGATTTAAGTGCTTGAATGGTCAATTTCAGGAGTTAATTGAAAAGTATTGGGTTAAAATGAGCAGAAATTTGGTAGAGCTTGTATTTCAGATTACAGATTTAAAGAGGGTTGTATTGAATGACTGTGGAAATAATGTATCATGTTTTAATGCTCAATTATTCATAGACTTTTATTTTTCTATGATTCTTAAAAACTGTTTATTTTGAATGGGGATTATTATATTTCAAACACTTTAATTATATGTACAAATTATAGCACTTTTATTTTCAACAAGAGAGCAACTATAATTTGACAAAACAATCACAGCTCTATTTATATTCAAATGCAAACTCTGAAGCTTAAGCTAGTTTCAATTCCAGACTGCCATTTTCCTTTTTTTATCCCATTCTGCGGCTTAAACGAAATTCGCTTTTTTTATTGAAAATTTCATAACTCCAGTTTGCAGAGCTTTGCATACGAAACGAAAGTTGATGATATATTATGTTGCATTTAGTTGCGACACATTTGCATAACACTCATACGACCTGTGAGCATCGCCAGCGATGGATGGGAAAACCAAGTTGAGGGATGGCTGTGGAATATGTAAATAATATTTCAACAATAATTGCTTTTGAAGCTAAAGTGCCCAGAGATGGGTCGTCCAACTGTCTTACCACCGCCCCCACAAATTCAATTTTCTCATGAGAGAGCACAACGGAGAGTCCTGTCGACTAGGGCTCCTGCTGCTCCTGGCAGCTAAAAATAATTAAAATTTAAAGCGGAATAAAATGCACAAGAATAACATTTACATTTATGCGTTTTCTGTCTTCTGCTTTTCTTGCGCTCAACGGAATACAATTCAAATTCAACAAGTTGGGCGGTGGGGTTTTTAGAAGGAGTGGAAAACTAACGGAAGGAAAGCGGCAAAACGCTCTCAAGTGTGCAGATCTCAAAGGAGCCAACTGAATATACATGGACTAGTTTAAAATTAAACTAATGTTTATAGTTATTGCAAAACTATCCCAAGCTGCCCAAGAGAGCGGAACCAAGGGAGACGACGATTCGTGTCCTCAGAACGGAAATGTAACTGAGCATTGAATAGCAATGAAGAAAACTGCACTGCACAACTGCTCTGGCTTGCGATTGTAATGATGTCTTTCTTCACTGGATTTTCCTCTTATTTTCATCCTTTAGTTTAGTTATGACAGGCAGGACATCGAAGGACATCTGGCCGGAGTCTGCTCCTCAGTTGATGATTATAATCTTCAGTATTCTCAGGCCAAATGCATTTCCACTCAATAACTACCGACTTGAATAAAAGGCCCGAAGACAATTGGAATTGGATTTTGCGTTATAATGGGCCGACGGAATGGTCTTAAGTTAAGCTAAATTGTATTCCTTGAAAAGGAAATGGTGGATGAAAATACGTTATGAATAATATCCTTTTTGTGACAAAATCACGTCACGTCACGTTTAAAATCACTTTTAAATGTAATTTTAGGTGTCTAAAAGTATGCAACAATATATATTAAACTCACAAAACCATGGAATTCACTTAATCCTTTATTTACTGCATACTTTTAGACACCTTTTTAAGAAGGTGTTTTTAAATCCATATATTTTTTGATAGATACAAATATCATACACAATTGGAGTAAATATATCCCTCAAATCGGATTCATTTTGTAGAAAAAATGACTTATCATCAACTTTCCTGGCTCTATTTAATTTTGTCAAGCCGTTATCCAGACCCCCAAAACAAAACTAATTATAATTAAAGCAAATGCCAGTTTTGTTTTGCCTGAGAATTTCCCCCCCTAAACTTTTTATCCAAACATCAAGTGGAACAATTTGGGCAAACACAGAAAACGGCGCCGTGGGGCTAACGACACTCAAATCAAAAGCGATAATCTATGGCCCCCCGGCAAGAAAACCTTTCATAAAATACAGAAACAGAAAGGGGGTGGCGAAAAAAAGAGGAGAACGAAATAAGTAGCCGCACTTTATATTTATGAGCAACATTCGCATGCAGCTTTAATGGCCATCGAACTGGAACTGGAACTGGACAACAGGACCCCAAAGACGACGACGATGACGATGACGATGACGCCCACAAAAAATACATTTCCTTTTTGGATTATTTAACTGCCATTGACGACGTTGAATGAATGAATGAATGAATGGCTGGCTGACAGGAGGAAGGAGTCGAAAAGAGCGAAGCCAAGCAAATAGAAATAAAAGTAGGAGGCATGAAGAGTGGCCCGCAGGCCACGAAAACTCAAGAAAAATGCAAGAATTTTCCGCACTCGCTGAGGAAAAACTACCTGAGGGGGTGGTAAGCCGTTCGTTGTGTGACTGGTTATTTATTTGCTCGTTTATTTTCAGCACTTTTTCGGCGCATTTATTAGAAGTTGTTCTGCCTTCAGGCCAACCAAACCAAAAAAAAAAATAAAAGGGATGGTGGGATAAATAAAAAAAGAAAACACGAAAGTCGAAAGAAAAACCCTCTTAAAAGGCTGCGCGAATTTTCCTTCAACAGCTTTGCCCCTTCGAACTGAAAATCATTTGTAAATCAAATTGAAAACCCTGGCAAAGAGATAGCACTATGCACATAACAAGCTGTGGCAACGGGGTTGGTTGGTTGGTAAATTTGTCAGAAACAGCCAGCGAACATCATTCGTCATGATGATGGAGCCCCCGATCCAATCCCAATTCAATCGTTCTGCCCCATGGATTATATTTGCACAGCAGTGAACTTTTGAGCCCCCAGGGCAGTGGAAAATAGCTGGGAAATGAGTCGGAGCCAGATAATGCTGATTAAGTCGATGGCACACAGGCGACAGTTTCGACTTGTCAACTCTTATCCACGAAATTCTTAATTGTTCGTTATTAATGATGCTGCTGATACTGCGGCTGTTGTCTGACTTTCAAATTGAAAATGAACGAGGGGGAGCGGGCTCGACTTTGATGAATGTCCGAGTGTGAAAAACCGCAAGCAGTCTAATTGATTGCCCAAAGACTTGACTGGGATTTCAGTTCCTATTTTTCTCCAACATAGGACACAAATCAAATCGAGGACCAGGCAAATTAATGTTAGGACAAAAGCTAAGTAAGTTAAGGGCATGAGATTCGTATAGATAACCTTTTAGATGGAGAAAGAAGAACCTTTAAAATAGACCCCTTAGGTAGGGCGAGTGAGAATCGCGGAGAAAGGCTCTTGAGCTAGAGTATATGAGAATCGCAGAGAAGGGGTTTCAGCTAAGAAAAATAAAAATTGGAGATAACCCTTAACTCAGAAAAAAATCCCAGCGGAAGAATGAATGGAAAACAGTGAGTGCCATAAATAAATTGCTGCTTCAGCAATTTTCAATAAATGACAGACCTCTTCCGGTTCTTCCCCGACTATCTGTTTGTCAAACTGAGGAACTTCACTTGACAATCAGAAGCAGCGATTTAATAGAGGTAGTTCTTGGAAGTGTAAAAACACTTGAGTTCCATTTGCCTTCTGATGGACGCACATAAATTTTCGATTATGCGCACCATTAGACACGAATTGAAGAATTCATCAAAGTGGATTTTTGGGCCTGCTTTACGTGATGGAAATTTTGCAGGTCCTGCAGTCTTTCAATTTGATAATGGTTTTGGTGATATATTATTAGGGGTCGTAATTGTGATAGGATTTAAATTTAGAAGTTGTTCTTAATGAATTTAAATATTTATAAAGAGATGTGTCTTGATGAATATTAGTAAACATTTTGATTATATTATTATAAAACGGAATTCTGATCTGGAAAATATCTTAGAAAATAAAAAAGACACCTCTTGTCGAGGAAAAATCGACTGGATCACACCTTCAACAAAAAAATGAGCTGATGCTCAAATTTGTTGAGAATGTTATAATACATTTTATATTATGATTTGGAATTCATTTCTATTCCACAGATTAATCTAGTACTCACCGTGGTTGTGGCCGGTGTGGTGGCCGTGTGCGGCGTGTAGGCGGCATATGCCGGCTGGGGCAGCGGCGCCGTGTAGCGATAGGCTGCCTGCTGGGCAACAGCGGCGGCGGCTGCGGCAGCGGCCGGGGCATAACCCTGCGGGGTCCAGCTGGCGGCGCCGCGGTACGGAGCGCCGGCGGCCAGAGCGGCGCCAGCGGCAGCGGCTGCGGGACTTGTCATGGCCGGTGGCCGCTGGGGGAGGGCGCCCTTGAGTGCGACGGCTGAGGCGGTGAGCGGGGCGCCGGGGAAGGCGCTGCGCGGTGTTGGCGGTGCGGCGGCGGCGCTAGACGAGCTCCCCTGAAAAGTATACAAAAAATAGGTCCATTAATCTGTGTACTTCAAATTATTAAACATAAAGAACGTGATACATATTTATCAGAATAAAAGTAATCGATATAAATCGATCGAATATAATCGAATGAATGATATAATCGATATAATATATATAAATATTTTATTAAGGTTTATTTTAAAAAATCATTTTGGAAATCATAAAGACCATATGAATTGTATTTTAAAATCAAAAGATTTGTAAAAAATATCGATATGTATATCGATTTATGCGATAAAAATAACCCCACCTTCAAAAAACCATTGAGGTAGGCGTTATGTAACGAACATTGCTAGGGGTTTCCACTGTGTGGTTTAGTTTCGGCATAAATAATCTGGTTTGCACGGGGTTTTTGTTCTGGCGTAAATAAAAACCGCAGAGCGGCAGCTGCGGCCCGACTGTAAAGCTTTTGTTTACCGCTAGAAAAACCGCCATGACATCCGTTCTAATGCACACATGGTATAGGCAGTGCATATGAATCATGGCTGAGGGAGATTTTGTTTTATTGAGTGCCAGTTGCGTTGCGCATTCATTGCAAAACGATAATAAAAATGGAGAGCGGGGAAAAACTACAGACTATGGAGCTTTATACTCTGTAATATTTAACAGTAATTCAGGGAACTATAATAGATCTACGAGAGGTCAAAAAGTTATTTATAAGTATTATAATTTATCAGAACAAGTACTTATTTTTAAAAACATGTTATTAAAAACCATATCAAGGAAAGGGTCCTTTAACAAAAATTACCTTATAAAAATACAGTTTATACGTATATATCTGGATTACAGACACCACTTTAAGATCTTCAAAGATAAAATATTTTAAATGGAAATCAATTATCCTGCTTCCTGCAGGGATCCTCCAAGTCCCTCAACCAAACCCCAAAAGGATTTCTTTTAAGGAAATAACAGGGTATCTTTTATAGAAACATGCCTGCTATAAATAATTCCCGCCCAACTCCCAGTTCTGTGGAATGTATGGAAAGGATCACCATATAAGGGGGCGGTGGGCGGTGGGCGTGGACAGATGCAACAGTCGCCGGGTGTCCTTGCTGCCGGGTCGCTTCCTGTGCGAGTGTGTGCTCCAGTTTTGCATTGCAAATGCATTTGTTGCTTTGGGCCATTTTCTGTTTTTCCCTTTTTTTTCAACCCACTCACTCACTCCTTTAGCAGTTCTTTGGGGTCACTTGGCATAAACACAAATAAAACCGCCTCTGTGGTTCACATATAAAAATTTATATTCAACTGAAATATACAAGGTGGAAAATGTGATGTTTTTGGGGATTTTCTCACTGACGTTTCGCCGAATCTTTCGTGGCATAAACAAAACCTAAAAAAAAAAACGAGAATAAAAAGGCCAAAATAAACGCAACGAAACCGGAAACAAACGAGCTCCGCCATTTTTATTTTCGGCCTGATTGAGGTAGGAAGGAACTCGTGTGTGTATATGTGTATATGTCCTGGTTTCTAAAAAGGATTCAGCTGGAGCCTTGCGTGCTGTCGCTGATTTTCCAATTGCAAAATATGGCAAATATTTGATTTTCAGTTTGTTTTTCACCCTATTTTTCCACATTTTTCTCTCACTCAGTCAATTTTATTTTCTTTTTTTATTTGGTTGAGGGGGCTTCACGTTTTTCAGTTAATTTTCGTGGGCACGCAATTCGAATGCGGTTTTGCGGGAACTGAAGGCTGAGCTGTGGGCGCCTGTAATTTGGCAGTTAAATGGCAGAGAACGAGTAATAATGGTTTGCCATTCGAATTGGAGTGGAGGACGAGTACGAGGACGAGGACGTGTGTGTTTGCCAAGTGGAAAGTGGGGTAAAAACGTAAGGGGCGGGCAGGAAAAATATGCATTCGAAAATCGAGGGAGGCGTGACAGCATTTTGACATAAACTTCAGCCCGAAGAATTGGATTTTTAAGCAATTGTACGTGATGGCTAAAGGAAAGGGTAACCATTAACAATATACATTTTTGTTTGTATATCACTAAACTTTTTTTTTACTTGTATGCCTCAATGAACAATTAAAATTCAAACCATTTGCTGAAAATAAATTTAGAATGATTCTCATGAGTCTAATTTATTAGACCAAATATTTTCAATGCTTGGTCATTTAGTTTTCGACAAATAAATTATTCTTTATACCATTAACAAATAAACAAAAGATTTAAAAATATTGTTCGAAAACCGTTTCAGCATTCAGAAAACGTAACGATTTAAAGTCGTTTGTCTTGCATCCTCTTTTTTTGGCAATCCTATCCATATAGTAAGCCGAAAAGTAGACTTCAGAAATCCTAAACAAATTACCAACACATTGACACCATAGATTTTCCTTAAAAGTTGACTCCACATCCATTTACCCATCACATTCCCCATTTATTGCGATTTTCCCCTTAGCACATGACAGGCAAAAACACCACCATTCCGTACCACCCATCAATTGCCTTCGGTGGGTCATAAAATGGAATAGCCAAACATTTTAAGCGCACAAATGCTATAAATTTAAGCCGCTAAATTAGACACGTTTGGCACATTGAACCAAGCCCCCACACAAACACACAAACACATATACCTTTTAGAAAAATACCCACCCAACCCAACGGCCACCGAAAATAATCATAAAGGTAATTATTTTATCGTTCGTTCAAATTCGCTTAATTTCAACGTTGACTGCAACGACGTCTGGCGGCTGGAAAAATTTCTCTACACAGGTACTCGTTTAGAGGTATATATATATATTTAGGTGTATATAAACGGAAAGCTAATGGAAAATATGAAGCCTAGGAAGCCTGGCCTACACCCTCCAGCCTTAATGGGCAGCTGTGGCTGTTTTTGGCGAGAAAAAAGGAACGAGGACGTGATTAATTACCAAATTGGGAGCCATTATCGCGTGCACTTCGAGGGTGTTTGTAAAGTTTTTCCGACTCACGCACACACACAGGTACAGAGGGGAAAATCGGAAAATGTTGGAAATCATATTAATACAATTTTGGTTATGATGAATCTGATATTTAACAAAACTAATTGAAACTATTATAATCAATGGAAGATGGTTGGATTTTTTAGTATTTATTTAGTATTTTTAATAAAATTTAAGGTACCTTTATTATAAAACCGTCAGACCTTATATTAATCCTTATTATTATGAAAGTGGTATTTAAAAGAGTGTTATTTTTGTAGTGTTTAAAACTAGTTAGTAAAAGGTCGTTGAATTTTTATTTGGTATTTATTTAGTATTTGTTTTTGTAATATTTAAGACCTCTTTATTAAAAAACCGTCGGATATCTGTAGTTGATTTGGACTTAGATTACAAATTTCAATAATATATATTGTTTGTAGAAATTTTATATTAATCCTTAGTCTTAACTATTAATAGCCTGAATCAATAAAAATCCCAACTACTTTCAGTGCACAAAAGGCAAGTAATTTGGTCGTGTCCCAAACATTTCTGTTGACGCTTTTGTTCTATATATTCTATTACCCCGAAAACTGCTCTACTCTGTTATTGGTGTTCGCTTAATTTTTATGCAAAAAACGTTTCGTTTTGGTCCTTTCAGCCGTTATCCAGCTCTAGTCCTTCCTGGGGGCAAAATCAAGCGCAAAATATTAATGATAATAATTTATTACCAACTGACAGGTGGAGAGACAGGAGGTACGCAAATGGGTGGGGGTCTTTTGGGGTTTTCGGGGTTTCTGCGGAGTTGCTATATGGGGGCGGGAATCCTCTGATAAACGCTTTGTGATTAGCGGTCGTTGTTGCTGGTGTAGCTTCGTGGCTACGACGAGGAGCGAGTCTTTGTCATTTTTATTGTCATTTTTCGAAAATTTATGCGCAAATTCGATTTGGCTGCGGGCGGATGGAAATACGTGAGTGGGTATAAAATGTTGATAGGCAAAAATGGGAGTGAGTAGAGATCGGAATTATCAGAATACTTTAAGAAGAATGGCAAATTTAAACAAGAGAAAATACCAAACATTTATTTTAATTAAGTTGGGAGATAAAATCAATTAAACCAGATCATATTAATATGCATATTGGTAAATAAAATATGCATAATCCCCAATTCGTAAAATTTATTTTAATAATATATTATTAAAGCAATTTTTATTTAATGCTTTAAGTTTTATTTTTGCAATCCTTCAATTTTAAATTATTAAACCCTTTTATACATTTTTCAAAAAATGTATGCAAAAATTCTTTGAATGGCGTAATATTATTAGAAGAATTATGACTCAAACATTTATTTTTACTATCCCTAATTTAACACTTTAAAAAACAGTTCTACCCTTAAACTTTAATACCCATTCATGAAATTTTCAAATTACTTAATGCAAAAACTAGTTGAATGGCGAATGAAAAAACAGATGAAAAACTGCAAACAAAACTGGGACTCGGCTCACGACTCACTTGCCATGCAAAGGCACCAAAAAAAAGATGAAGGTGGAAAAGCATGAAACAAAAAATATTTGCATTTTCCTCAAGAAATGTTTGCACACACTCATAGACAGACGCATAAACACACACAGATGTCTCTTTGTATAATTCATATTTTCCAACCACTTATTGTTTAAACTAAATAAAGCAAAAACTTTTTCCATAATTAAAACCGACGGCAGTGGCGGAGGCAACAACAACAATCATGTCTCGGGGGAGGTGAAATGGGGTTTTCCAAGGGGGGTGGGGAAGGGGGTAAAAAGGGGGTGGGGGCGTGGGTGGGTGCAAGAGCGGAAAACAAAAGGATTTTCCCTTATTTTGTTGCTGCCTTACAGGCGCAAAATTTTTGCTTATTTTTTCCGGACTTTTGCCTATTTTAATTCTATGCGGTAAATTAAATTTTCGTATTGTCCCATGTCCACCCACCAAACCTCCCCCCCCCCTCAAATTTTCCCATTTTCCCCGCATAAAAATTCACGAGTGAAAGCGCTTAAGGGATGAGTGGGCGGAGTGGGAGTGGCAATGGGCGGTA